CTCGCCCTACATAATAACCAAACCACAGTAAAAGTCATTTGTTTTACAGGGCAGTGCATATAAAATTCCAGCTTTTTGACAAATAGTCATCACTTTTATTTTCTTTCTTTCTTTTTTGGTAACCTAATTTTAAAAATTAGATAATTAAAATGCCACAACATTCAGTTGTTTCAAGAGGTAGAAATTATTTCTAAAGGGAAAAGGAGGGAAAAATTCTCTTCACATGGAGAGGAAGCAGACAAAAAGGCTTCTTGGCACTATAAAGAACTATAAAGACTGAGGTGAATTTAGCATGTACTATGTAGGAGCTATTGTGTGTGCTTAACTTTACTTGTTCTAAGAAAAAATATTTGAGAAGTGCTATAAAAGAATGATGCTCATTGTAGTGTAACTTACACTTTGAGGTTCAGTTGTTTAGTGGGTTTTGTTTGCACACAAAAATAAAAGTTTCAAATAGCATACATGACCAAAATCCTATTTATTAACAGCGGCGGGGGGGGGGGGGGGATTTTCACAAGCTTTGCAACCCAGAACAGAATTTCAGATGAACACAAGCATTTTCAAGCTTTGTGGATTGTTCCCAGGGCTTCAACTGACCACAGCTCTTCAAACTGCAAAGAGCTGGAAGAGCATTCTGGGTATTAGAATGCAAATAAGACTATGAGCTGCAGAAGAATTTCCCTATATGTGTGGGTTTAGATTTAACCAGGGTTTGAAAATTGAACCACTGTAACAATAGGAACTGAATATATTCAGTTCTGGACCTGTGCCAAAAAAGCTCTGTTAGACTAAGGGACTAGTGACACTCTATGGCCTGATACTTCATGAGCTTCCACGGATACAGATGAATATGTTATACCATTGGTAGGGAAAAGGGAAACCCAACAATACAGTTCCACAGGGTATTTATTTCTAGCTCTAGTAGGTAATGATACATCAGGCCTTGTAATATTGTCACTGATTATCAGCTAGCTTTTCCCATTTCAGTTCTAACAGAGTCTTAGTAGTTAGTATCACCTGAGTTGCAAGAGCTAGAAACCAATGCCTTGCTTCACCTCTGAGCAACTTGGAATCCTAGCTTCTAAACACCATACAGCATTAAGCTTTAATTGTAGATGTTTGCTGTACTATCACAGAGCTAAACAAGAGTCAGAAGTTGCACACCTAACATAAATTAACCATATTCTGGTTGCAAAACCTAAGTTTTGTGACAGTATTGGATATGAAGAATTCTAGAAATCAAGTGGGATGCCTCCTGGGATTAGAGTTATGAGAACCAACTGAAGGTGGAATTTTCAAAATTTCTCTGTGCTGGCCTAATTCTGTTCACATTGAAGTCAATGGGAGTTTTACTATTGACTCCAAGGGGAGCAGAGTTAGGCCTGTGCGGTGAACTTTTGAAAATCCCAATCTAAAAGATCTGAGTGTGCCGTGAGTGTACTTGGAATTGACTTTTAAAAAACTTCTCCATTGAAGTGCCTTGTCTTTTGGTATTTTTAAAATTTTAATCCAGTGAAATTTTACTGTCTTTATATTACACTTACAGCCTAAGTACTTGAGTCATTCTGTTAATTCTTCCATTTGCATCAGTGTATGAAATAAGGCTAGAACAAATATTTCTTCAGATCAGCAACAATGACAATTCTGGGGAATGCATAAAGACAACTCTGCAGTGAAGGCTTATGAACTAATTTCTTTTATTTCTTTGTTTTGGGGGCAGCCAGCTGTCATGGAAACTTGCTGTTTCTTGACCAGCTGGTAGTTGATCCACATTCACCTAGTTGTCAAGTATCAGAGGGGTTGCTTATTGTCGGTGGTGTTGGCAGTGGATTGAGGGAAGGGAGGTAGAATACCGTTTCCATTTTATCCTAATTCTGGGGTTGCTAAATGTAGGCCTGGTCTACACTAAAAAGTTAGGTTGACCCAGCTATGTTGCTCAGGGATGTGAAAATCCACACCTTTGAGAAATGTAGTTAAGCCCACCTAACCCATAGTGAGGACCGTGCTAGGGCGACAGAAGAATTCTTCCATTAACCTAGCTACCACCTCTCTGGGAGGTGGCTTACAGCTGTGCCACTGTAGCGTTTCAAGTGTAATCAAGCCCAATGTCATGTACAGATGCTGTCAATTATGTTAGTAGCTTCTTCAAATCAAGAATATAGAAATTAGTATTATTACCAGGGGTGCAAGTAGGGCGGTACTCTCCAGTACACGGTACTGGGGAGGGGGGCTGCGTTCTACTCCTCAAAGGAGCAGAAGGGGCTAGGGAGGGGTGGGGGGACGGAAGGTGTTTAAAGAGTGTTTTTGATTCTGTTTCTCCCCATTGGCCTGATTATCCATGACATCCATACTGCATCCACATAAAGTCCAAATCATTAGAAGAATGCCTCTGCTTGCACTGATCAGAGGATGTTTGGATTCTGATGTCAGTCCAGTTCTGCAGCCTGATAGGAATCGGGTGTTGTCCCCAATGTACCTAGAATTCTTCTTTGCAGCCAAACTAGTCGAACATGCATTTTGTGAACTGGAACTGGAGCAGCAAAACAATGAAAACAAATGCCCCATTTTCCAGCTTTGTGGGTGAGAGAACTATAAGTGAAGATTATAATGCTGGACACTGACAGCCTTAAACCAGCCAGCTGCCTCAGGAATCTGGCAAGAACTTTGCTGAAAATATGTTCCTCATCTTAGCAACAGAGCTAAGACTTATTACGCATCAGTCGACCTTTATCTGAATGAAACTCCTTCTGATCTGACAGCTCAGACATTGTCAGTTTCATCCAGAACAATTTACAAACTTGGAACCTAATCCTGTAAACCCTTAATCATTTGATCAATCCCATTGAAGACAATGGGACTATTTGCATGACTATGGACCGCTTTTGTGGACTGGTAGGAGTTTCAAGAGTCTGCTCCTTTAAAGGAAGTTGAATTCCCCATTAAAATGCAATGTTTGGGTACAATCCATCATAGGCGCTGACTTCCCCTCTGCCCGGTGGGTGCTCAACCCCCACCCCTGCCCCGCCTCTTCCTGCCCTGCATCGCCCTCACCACACCTCCATTCCACCCCTTCCCCCAAGTCCCCGCCCCTGCCCTGCCTTTTCTCCTCCTCCTCCCCTGAGCACGCAGCCTCCCCACTCCTCCCCCTCCCTCCCGGAAATTCTTAAGCACCGCCAAACAGTTGTTAAGTGGCAGGCGGGAAGCACTGGGAGGGGAAGGAGCGGGGACGTGGCGCACTTGGGAGGGGAGAAGGAGAGAGGAGCTTGGCTGCCGGTGGGTGCAGAGCACCTGCTAATTTTTCCCCGTGGGTGCTCCAGCCACGGAGCACCCATGGAGTCAGCACCTATGAATAGCATAATGCAGTTTCGGATACAGTTCTACTTAAAATTTGTCTTTTAATAAGCCATACATATGCTGAAATGGCTCCTCACCCAACTCCTATATTCCATATAAACAGACTGAAATACTACATATTTGGGGTGAAAGTGAGTAGTTAAGCATGTTGATGTTTGTATATACAAAGGATGGTGTCAGAGGGGACAGGGAGAGCATGGGGGCCCTGGGTTGGGGCGGGGAGGAGTCACGTGGCAGGTCATGTGCCCCCCTTGTGTCCCTCCCATGAGTGCAGTACCACCAAGAAATGATTTGTACTTGCACCACTACTTGTTACTAGAGTTTCTGTTCCTTAGAATGACATTCCTGTACATGAACTCAAATATCTAATTACCTTTATTGGAGACAAATTTCATGACGTCTAAGTTTCCTGCAAAATTGGAATGCATAAATTTAGACTGTCAGTTCATCAGGATAGAATCTTTCTTTCTTTGTACTGCGTCTAGCCCAATGAGTCCCAAACTTATTTGAGACCTCTAGGTAATGCAGTAGTTTAAATAGTAATGTACAGCAGTTTGTGTATTGGATTTCCATAAATGGATTAAACCATTTATATAGTTACTATTTACATTTTTTAAAAATAATTGTGTAATTTTATAATTTTGTAATCATTTAATTTTCCATTTCTTTACAAAATAAAGATAAGACAGATTGTGCATGGAATGACCACAGTAAAATCACCAGGGAATTACTTTGGGGGCAGAGGATGGAGACTTCAGGTTAAAGGTTAAACAAAAAAAACCCCAATCTATAGTTTAGCAAAAGAATGGCAGGAATTTAATGTGTCAGTTGTTCCACACTAGGAGTTTGTGTTTTAAGAAGACAGTCCCACATTTCACGTGTTTTCCCATTATGAATGGAACTATATATGGAGCGTCAGGGTAGAGGGGAGGGAAAGAAAAGTATTTGTGTTGACAGAATTTGTGCCTTATCAGCTTCAGTTTATTGGTAAAGTCTTTTTCAGAATTAGAAAAGGGTGACTTGGATAGCAAGGTCCCCATCTGCATTACAAAAACAACCTCAGGGCAACCAGTTACAAATCATTAAAATTTGCACTACAGGACCTTAACTGGTTGTTACTGGGCCTAATCTGAGTGAGCTTGGAACAAATCATTGCTTTTACTGAATATTGGTTTTATTTTATTTTATTTTTAAAGCGGGTGGGAGGAGATGTCAACAGGTAGATTTCCCTCTGAAGTTTTGTCCTTTTCTCCTTTGACTCTGATCAGAACTTGCTTTTTTTATTTATTTATTTTGCTTAAGGGGTTTGAAAGGGAGAATGGGCAGCCAAAAGAAAAAAGATGGCTAGTGTAACATTCTCCGAGCCAGGACACTATTCCTAAATGTAGATTCTGATTACATTATCTGTAACTTTATTACAAGAAGTCATGGAATCTTTGTATTACTTGAGACTCTGCCTAACACAATTTTTAGTGGTGTCTCTATAGAAACAAAAATGTGATTGAAATAAGTGTGCATCTTTTGGGTCCATATATGATTCATGGTTTAAATATTTGTTAGGGCCTATCGGGTATATATTCAGAAATCTGTCAGCTTAAAAAGACCTATTTTCTTTCTTGCTGACGTAACACACTTTTCTCTTTCAGGTAATTGCCTTTAGAATAAGGACCAAGAGACCATTTATACATGCTTCTTCGGTGCTTGGACTAACACATTCGGAGAGAAGACTCTTTTACATCTTTGTCACAAACTTGATTATCCCACGACTTAACTGCCATTGGGAAAAGCTCACAACAGAAAAAAAACCTTTCCCACTTTCGGTCCATTACACAGTAATTGAGCTAAGGAACGTTCTGCGTGGAGGCTCTATAGCAGAGATTTGGAATTTTGCTGCTTGCTCTCATCCTCTGTGTTCACACTTCAGACTGTAAACAATGAGTGAGTTCTGGTTGTGTTTCAACTGCTGTATTGCAGAACAGCCTCAGCCTGTAAGTATGAATCTCTGCATTGTTTCTGTATGTAATCAAGTATATTGTTCTTTTTTTTTTTCGTACTATGGACTAAGCTCAGTGAAAATGAAAAAATCTAGCATATCTGTTTAGCTGTGCTGTATGAATAATCAAATCTATTTCAGGCTGATGTGGATATTTTGATTTGCAAAGATACTAAGGAAGATGGGGGTAAAGAGAGCAACACAACAAATGGCCCTAATGTAGGTCCCAAAAATGGATGGAAAATTGGAAATATAAAAATCCAACGTCAGCTTGTTTTGTTGCTGTTTTAGGCTAAGTTGAAGATGGGGTTGGGTGAGGTTCAGGGAAGGGAATATTTATATTTAGAAATCAAGTGTGAATTCCAATCCTGACCCCATTGAAATCAACGGCAAAACTCCCATTTTTTTGCCATTGACTTCAGTTGTAAGGTCAGGATTTCACCCAGTGTTTAGTTGTCACTCTTTAGGATTTGTTGAGGAAATCTTGAGAGAATGTGTATTACAATCAGTTAACTTGATTTGCACCACAATCATTTGAGTTTTGCTGAAAAGAGGAATGGATGTGATAATGGCTAAGTAAAGCATGAAGGAATACAAGACAGAAGCACTTCAAAGCGTCATGCCCGGAAGACAAAATAAACTATCTAAATGCTGGAACAGTAGAGAAGTGATTTCCTCCCCCCCCCTGTGGCCCCCCCCCCCATTGAGACTCAAGAAATAGATTTAGGGCCTCTGCTACCAGGTACTGGATCCAATACTGTTGTGCTTCTGGGAGAAAACCTATCTATCATGCAGGTAAAGTAGGCCAGGAATTTGATTACCAGCAGTTCTGGAGATGTCTTCACAACTACACCTGGGAAGATCAATCCTGTTGAGCAGTGCACCCAGATCAGTCCGAGTAGTGGGGTAGAGAAAGGAGAGTTCTTTATTCCAGCCAATATGTGGGAGAGAGTACAGTGAACATGGGAGAGTATGTTTGAATTAGAAGTAACAATAGAATCACAAAGTGGTGCAGCTCACAGCAACACAGATAATTTGGTTTTGTATTGACTTAAGGAAAGTCAAAGCCACTGAAAAGCGTAATACCTACTTGCTTTTCTGAGACTGTCAGGAATAGTTATTGCAAAAAGATTGAAAGCAAAAAGAATCCTGAAGTAGTAATGGAAGTATCAGTAAACCTAACAGTTTAAACCTCCTTGGTGCACAGTATAAATGTAACTTGCTGTCATTTTTAATGAAACAGGGTTGTGGGAGGAGTTCATACTCAGATACCAACATGGGGAGTTAAAATTCCTCTAATGTGGAATGAATACCTTGCAGTCTTTCAAGACTTGCTGTGTCAGTATCCTAATGACTTACATAGTTTGAAGACAAAATGTTTTAATAGGTTTAATGTGAGTTGTGATGGCATTCTGGAATTAAGAGAATGAATACACCCTTAGGCTATATAGTACAATTCCATGTAGTTTGCAGAGTCCTAGCATTTTTTTAATTTTATAAATAACAGTAGAAACCAAAAATATGTTCCACTTGTTTTTAGGAGCTGTAGATAGCTGCTTTTCTAAACCCTGATTATAATTTTATGCTACAATAAAGTTATTGCATGGGAGCGCAAAATGAAATGTGTTACAGCTAACATAATACATTAGTACTACAGTTCTTAATCCCCAATAAAGAGTGGAGGTTATAGTTCAAAGCCGAATAGGGGCTGCAAGCCTTCACCCACTCCTGTCTCTGATGTGGATTTGCTCAGTAACTTGTGCTCCTTCTTCCTCCCTCTCGCCCCCAAGATACAAGTAGCACCCTGTAAAGCATTTCATTTGTTCCTGAAGTGCTGCATTTCAAGGGTTGTAGGACTTGGCTGGCACACATGAGTACAATAAGAGTTGTTGCAAAGGATTTTGCGTGTGACTGAGAAGTAGTTTGTGTGACTGCATGTGAGCTGTTAGTATTGTTGTAGTTAGTAACAGACCTAGAACTCTTAGATTCCATTTCTATCTGTGTTCCTCTTCTGTCTAATTGGGACTAAAATTTCAAGTTGCAGAATGTAAGTAAATTGTTAACATTATACAAAAAAAATTATCAAATCTAAATCAATCCCTTTTCCATTCTGGGGAGGTAGATACAATGACTTCTCTAACCTTCTTAAAAATAATTTCTTCAGAAACTGGGAATGATTCTCAATGCACATAAAACTACTTTGTCTCACTATAGCCCAACACACATTAAGAGCCTGAATATGTCACCCTTACTAATGGTTGAGTAGTAACTCATTCTGCAAGCAGCCGTCGTAGAATCAATGGAAGTACTTGCAGAGTGAGGGTACTGTTCAATGTAAGGATGGCAGAACTAGGCCCCAGGATGTGCTGCTCCTGCAGCAGAGCCTCCTGTGGGATGGGTTTCAGCAACTGAGTCACTTCGTTGGCTTCAGTCTGCGCCTGCTGCTGGCTCCCATCACTCCCCATGCTGGGTTCTGGGGCCAGTGGGGCAGCATCCCAGCTGACCAGCGCAGTGCCCAGAACCCAGTCAAACTCCTCCTAAACTGAGCACAGTGTCAGCAAGGTGCCTGAGATGTGGTTCTGCTTCCTGATTTTCCTATACTCAGTCTTGAGATGCTTAATCAGATCTCTGCACTGGTCACCAGTCTGGTATATTTGAAGCGTTGCCAGCTTCTTGTTTATTTGCTGGTATGCCTGGTCATTCCTGGTACTTTGATGGAAGTCCACTGTTCTGCTGGCCTCACACCAGAGGATCACCAAAATCTGGCTGTGCTCCAGTGACTGTGAAGCAGTGTGCTGCAAAGGCTTGTCATGTTAAGTCTCCATTGCAAACACAAGGCTGCTGATGGTGTGTTTGCATTTCGGTGGTCAGAAGACAATGGAAGAGTTAGCGCTGATTCACTGAGCTGCTGCAGTACACCAAGGAGGGATGCTTTTCTTTTCATTGGCCTCGATTTGAGGATTCTTGGGATAAAGAGGACAAAGGTAGTTGGCCCATGGGATTGTGGGATACTTTTGTTGGACTCCCAGGGCCTCAATTGGCAGGCGAGTGGAGGGGGGGGGGCTGCATCTTTGCTGCAAAGCAATAGGGCTTGAATCCTGGTTTGGATCCTCAGTACCCACAGGTTTCTACAACTCTAGGGCCAAGCCTGAGTCTGAGAGATTTGTGTATAGATAGAAGAGGGGTTTGGGCTCAAGCCCTAGTCTGAGCCTGGGCTTATGTTGCAGTGTAGATATACCCTTAGTGATCAACTTACTGTGAAGTTCCCCTGTACCATGAGACAGCTGGAATACATCAGTTGCGCTGCCCTCAACCATCGTGTCGAATGTAGGGCTAAATTCTAATCTAATATGTATAACTCGGAGTTAGCACAGTAGCGTTTTTGTATTTTGAATTATGTTTTAATGCACATGCTATTCGGTGGTGGTTAAAATTTGGTTCTTAGAAATTGACTACGGGTAGGGGAACAAGTTCCCTTGGCTTCTGAATTGCAGTGATCTAACATGCAAGAGATTTTTCTGGCCACGTGCCCTATTGTTGGTATATTTACACATTAAGACTATTGCTGATTAGGCACGCTGGCTTCAGACTTACTGTAAAATAATATTTTTGGTAAATTTGGAGTAATGCATTTCATATTTATTTGATTATTTTATAAAATAGTAAAATTATAGAAGACTGATCTTTGTATATTAAAATGAATCCTTCTTAGTTGCTTGCTGACTGAACCCTCTGCCCATGAGAATAAATGAATTGCAGAAGATTTTTTCATGTATCCTGTGTATTAATGTGTAATGCAGTCGCACATTTATACATCTAATTACACCAGCATCATCTAGTACAAGGACTCTGAGTAATAAATCAAAGCCTCAAAAAAGATAAATTGCTTATGATGATGTATCCAGCTTCAGGCAGCACCTTATCATTCTAATCCAAAAGATTTCACGCTGCAGTTACTGTTCAGCCTGCATAATATTTTTTAAAAGAATCCTGCAAATGAACAAATATGGAATATGCTAGATTTAGCATAAAAGATATCTGCATTTAATGATTTGTTCCTTCCAAAGTAGGAAATATGTAAGCATTGTCCCCATTACTCAGACTAAGCCACAACTTTCATGTCCTTGTCCCAATCTTGTCTCTATTTTATGTCTTCTACTGTGCCAACCACCACACCTAGAACCCATTCCCTTAACCTGATCCACTGTTCCTTCAAGTCCATCACTAAAACATGTTTCTTCCAAAAGGCTTGTAAAGATTAATCCTCCCACAGAGAAGCGTGGACAAAAATTGATGTTGTGAAATAAAAATCGTGGAAGCAAAATAGACACATACTTCACTTTGTTCAGTTATGTTGCTTATATTCCATTCCATGCTTGGAATGTATCATGTCTCTTAAATATGAAGTCCTTTCATCATGAATTCTGTGCTTCCTTCTTTGTCTATAAAACATCTAGGAAATTTTGGATGTCACATAAATACTAACAGCATAGTTTTTGAGATTTTTAGCTCCATCAGGGGAAAGATACGAAAGGTATAGAAAGTGTGTGCATGTGTTCTCCAGCATATCTAGGCTTGCCCTTTCAGTGATGAGTTTTCCTCTGCCCTCCAGCTCCAGGAGGCAGGATGAGACTGCTGTTCACAAGAAAGTTTGACTCCCACTTCTGGGAAAACCCCAGGTTATTCTTCCAGCCTGCTTCAACAGGTGGTCTCCAGGCTTCCTCCTGTCCGGGATTACAGCATTAAAAAAACCTTTAAATTAGGGCTGTCAATTAATCACAGTTAATCCACATGATTAACTCAAAAAATGAATTGCGATTAAAAAAAATTAATCACACTGTTAAACAATAGAATACCAATTTGAAATTTATTAAATATTTTTGATGTTTTTCTACATTTTCAATAGTGATTTCAGTTACAACACAGAATAAAGTGCACAGTGCTCACTTTATATTATTATTTTTTATTACAAATATATGCACTCTAAAAATGATA